GAGCACACTAGGACAGAATGAGAGGTTGGAAGAAATTGAAGGAACTAGGACATGTGCAAGGACCTTACCAGACACCTGTGGGGGTCAGGAACAGGTGAGCAGGAAGGACAAACCAATGAGCATAGGGGCCATGGCTAGGGAAGGGACTGAAGGAAGGAACACTCCAGGGGAAGGAACTAAAACACCTCAGAGGACGCAATGGGGGTCACAGTGGGAGGTGGAAAGGGAGAGATCAGTTTTTGTCTATGGGCTAGACGAAGCTAAAGGGGAAACTTATGATGAAAGAAAGCAGGAGGAGAAAAAAGCGATTGAAGGTATCATGAAGGTGATAGGCGAGGGGGACATGACCCAGGTGGCAAATTTTTGGAGAATCGGGTGGTTCACAAAGAAAAGGAATCGGCCTCTCAAAGTAATTTTCAAGGCAGAATCAACCCGAACAATGATCCTGCAGGAGAAAGCATGGCTGAGAGGCAAACAGGAGTTCATGAGTGTGTACCTCGATCGAGACAGAACACAGGAGGAAAGGAGGATGCTGAAAGAGAGAGTGCAGAAACAAAAGGAGAAATGGGAGGAAATGAAAAAGGAGAGCAGAATAACCCAGGAACAAGTGGAAGGACAAGCACACCCCCCAGAAACACCTGCAGAAGGACTCCAGCCATGACACCCCCAAGGCAACTGAACAATCCAAACCAACCATCACACACTGATCCCTCTGTTCCCACCCCCCAAACCACAGTTACAGTATTAGAGCAGAAGTTGAAGGTTTGGTACACAAATGCAGATGGATTAACGAATAAACATGAGGAATGGCAAGAAAGAATCAATGAGAAATCCCCAGACATCATAGCAGTTACAGAAACAAAACTCACGGAGACAATAACAGACGCAATCTTCCCACCAGGATACCAGATCATGAGGAAAGATAGAAGGGGCAGAGGGGGAGGAGGGGTTGCTCTGCTCATAAAAAACAGATGGAAGTTCGAGAAAATGGGAGGCATAGACGAGACGGGAGAAAGAGACTACATAGTAGGTACACTTCAGTCTGGGGAGCACAAGGTGGTCATTGCAGTGATGTATAATCCACCACAGAACTGCAGGAGGCCAAGAGAGGAATATGAAGAGACCAACAGAGCAATGGTGGACACACTTGCTGAGGTGGCAAGAAGAGCTCACTCCAGCAGAGCAAAGTTGCTGGTTATGGGGGATTTCAACCACAGGGAGATTGACTGGGAAAACCTGGAGCCACATGGGGGTCACGAAACATGGAGAGCCAAGATGTTGGACGTGATGCTGGAAAACCTCATGCACAAACATGTTAAGGACACTGCCAGAGTGAGAGGGGAGGATGAACCAGCAAGATTGGACCTTGTGTTCACCTTGGGCAGTTCAGACATTGAGGACCTCACGTATGAGAGTCCCCTAGGAGCTAGCGACCACGTGGTTCTGTGCTTTGAATACATAGAAGAGTTACAAGTGGAGAGAGTAACAGGAGTTGAATGGGAAAAGCCTTTCTATAAAAGAGGGGACTACATAGGGTTGAGGAACTTCCTGCAGGAGGTTCCGTGGGACAGAGAACTGGCAGGAAAGCCAGTAAACGAAATGATGGAATATGTAACAACAAAATGCAAGGAGGCAGTGGAAAGGTTTATTCCCAAGGGCAACAGAAACAATGGGAAGACCAGAACAAGCCCCTGGTTTACCCGACGGTGTAAGGAGGCAAAAGCAAAGTACAATAGAGAATGTAAAAAGTACAGAAGGCAGAGAACACACGAAAATAGGGAGATCAGTCGCAGAGCCAGGAACGAGTATGCACAGGTAAGGAGGAAGGCCCAGCGACAGTATGAAAATGACATAGCATCGAAAATCAAGACTGACCTGAAACTGTTGTATAGCCACATCAGGAGGAAGACAACAGTCAAAGACCAGGTGATCAGATTGAGGGCAGAAGGTGGAGAACTCACAAGAAATGATCAGGAGGTATGTGAGGAGCTAAACAGGAGATTTAAGGAAGTTTTTATAGTAGAGACAAGAGTGCCTGTGGGAAGACAGCACAGAAGGGAACATCAAGAGGGAATATACCAACAAGTGTTGGAGGACATACGAACAACTGAGGAGGAGGTGCAGAAGCTGCTAAGTGACCTTGATACCTCAAAGGCGATGGGACTGGACAACATCTCCCCATGGGTTCTAAGAGAAGGAGCAGAGATGCTGTGCATGCCCCTATCCACAATCTTCAACACATCCCTTGAAACTGGGCAACTGCCTGAGAAATGGAAGACAGCAAATGTAGTCCTCATATTTAAGAAAGGAAACAGAAATGAGGCACTAAACTACAGACCTGTGTCTCTGACATGTATTGTGTGCAAAGTCATGGAGAAGATTATCAGGAGGAGAGTGGTGGAACACCTGGAATGGAACAAGATTATAAATGAAAGCCAGCATGGGTTCATGGAAGGTAAATCCTGTGTCACAAACCTCCTGGAGTTTTATGACAAGGTAACAGAAATAAGACATGAGAGAGAGGGGTGGGCTGATTGCGTTTTCCTAGACTGCAGGAAGACCTTTGACACAGTACCCCACAAGAGATTAGTGCAGAAGCTGGAGGATCAGGTGCATATAAAAGGGAGGGCACTGCAATGGATCAGGGAATACCTGACAGGGAGGCAGCAACGAATCATGGTACGTGAAGAGGTATCACAGTGGGCGCCTGTGACGAGCGGGGTCTCACAGGGGTCAGTTCTAGGACCAGTGCTATTTTTGATATATGCGAAAGACATGATGGAAGGAATAGACTCTGAAGTGTCCCTATTCGCAGATGATGTGAAGTTGATGAGAAGAATTAAATCGGATGAGGATGGGGCAGGACTGCAAAGAGACCTGGGCAGGCTGAACATGTGGTCCAGAAACTGGCTTCTCGAATTCAATCCTGCCAAATGCAAAGTCATGAAGATTGGGGAGAGGCAAAGAAGACCGCTGACAGAGTATAGTCTAGGTGGACAAAGACTACAGACCTCACTCAGGGAGAAAGACCTTGGGGTGACCATAACACCGAGCACGTCACCGGAGGCACACATCAACCAAATAACTGCTGCAGCATACGGGCGCCTGGCAAACCTGAGAATAGCGTTCCGATACCTTAATAAGGAATCGTTCAAGACACTGTACACTGTGTATGTTAGGCTCATACTGGAGTATGCATCACCAGTCTGGAACCCACACCTGGTCAAGCACGTCAAGAAGTTAGAGAAAGTACAAAGGTTTGCAACAAGGCTAGTCCCAGCGCTCAGGGGAATGTCGTACGAGGAAACGTTGAGGGAAATCGGACTGATGACACTGGAGGGCAAAAGGGTCAGGGGAGACATGATAACGACATACAAGATACTGCGGGGAATAGACAAGGTGGACAGAGATAGGATGTTCCAGAGAGGGGACACAGAAACAAGGGGTCACAACTGGAAGCTGAAGACTCAGACGAGTCACAGGGACGTTAGGAAGTATTTCTTCAGTCATAGAGTCGTCAGCAAGTGGAATAGCCTAGCAAGTGAAGTAGTGGAGGCAGGAACCATACATAGTTTTAAGAAGAGGTATGACAAAGCTCAGGAAGCAGAGAGGGAGAGGACCTAGTAGCGATCAGTGAAGAGGCGGGGCCAGGAGCTGAGTATCGACCCCTGCAACCACAATTAGGTGAGTACAATTAGGTGAGTACACAAAAGGAGCAGAATCACTGTGTGATACAGTAACAAAGATCTTCAACCAGTAATCCTAGATGAGATAGTTGACACATATCTGGAAAAAGACCAATATGATCCATCCATCTATCTATCTATCTATCTATCTATATATATATATATATATTTATATATATGTTATATATATATATATATATATATATATATATATATATATATATTATATAATATATATATATATATATATATATAATATATATATATAAATATATATATATATATATATTATAATATATATATATAATATATATATACATATATATATATATATATATATATATATATATATATATATATATATATATATATATAGATAGATAGATAGATAGATAGATAGATAGATAGATAGATAGATTATATTGATCTTTTTCCAGTAATGTGTCAACTACCCCATCTAGGATTACTGGTTGAAGATCTTTGTTACTGTATCACACAGTGATTCTGCTCCTTGGTGTGTGTGTGTGATACATGGTTATTTTAACTGTGTTGGCACTGTGTTAAATAAGACTGAGCACTGAAGTAAGATAGTGCCACTGTGCACACTAATTCAAGCACTTTATACTAACTCTGCTGCCAAAGTATTCTCAGAGTAACAATAGACTGCCATAAATGTTATGCATTCTGTTGGTTGCAGAGGCGGCTCGTGTATAGGCACTGCGGATCTTTAGTACCCCCTATTTTCACTCGATATTATCGATAACATTCAAAATAATGAGTCTTGTTTTCTTTAATTCTTTCTTTATACTTGTACATTATATAATCCTTAAGCTAATGTCAGTATCCATCCCCTAGTACATGAAAAAAAATATAAAAAATCCTTTTACGGAACTGTGCACTTCACAGTTCCAGCGACTCGGTATTTGACTGTTGTTCGCAGATGTCCGAGATAAGACGCTGCACGCTAGGTAGAGAGCACTGTTACTGACGCAGTGCCGACCCTGTTGTGCAAGTGTAAGGTAGTGTTTCTTTTTGACTCAGTGACGTGTGTTGTGCTTAAAAACCATGTACCATATTCTTGACTGTGATAAAGTGTAGAATTAGATTGTTATCATGCTTCCAGCTATTTTATTTGCTTGTTTCGTTTTACACAATATTTAAACAATGGCTAAAAATTTTCTGAAGCAGCACCTCCACTAATTTTAGCTACGAGCCGCCAATGGATGGGTTGTGTAATAATACTGAACCTTTCACACTGTAATGCTCTGAGAAAAAATAAATCATACCAAAAGTATACTGTATCTTTATATGTAGGAAAACTTTGTGACTCTGTTGAGCGAGGTTCATGAGGCACTGCAAGCAGAAGGTATGATCCTGACAGCTGCCCTGAGTTCTCCGAAGGATACAATAGACCAGGCCTACGACGTGCCTGGCATCGCTGAGCACCTGGACATTGCCAACATTATGACCTACGACTTCCACGGTACTTGGAGAACTTCCGTGCACCACGCTTCGGGCCTCTACCCTTACTCCGAGGACGTCGACGACGCCAGGTTCCTCAACACGGTAAGTTAGGTGGTGTTATAACGAACTTAGCATCACCTGCAATGTGTGGCTACCCTTGTGGCAACACTTGTTCTTGTACTCGTGTGTGTATGTATACTCGTGCGTGCGTGTACTCACCTATTTGTGTGTGTGTGTGTGTACTCACCTATTTGTATTCACCTATTTGTGGTTGCAGGGGTCGAGTCTTAGCTCCTGGCCCCGCCTCTCACCGGTTGCTACTGGGCCCTCTCTCTCCCCGCTCCATGAGCTTTATCAAACCTCGTCTTAAAACTGTGTATGGTTCCTGCCTCCACTACGTCATTTTCTAGGCTATTCCACTGCCTTACAACTCTGTGACTGAAGAAATACTTCCTAATATCTCTCTGACTCATTTGTGTCTTCAACTTCCAATTGTGGCCTCTTGTTTCTGTGTCCCCTCCCTGGAACATCCTGTCTTTGTCCACCTTGTCTATTCCACGCAGTATTTTATATGTCGTTATCATGTCTCCCCTGACCCTCCTGTCCTCCAGTGTCGTCAGGCCGATTTTCCCTTAATCTTTCTTCATAGGACATTCCCCTTAGCTCTGGAACTAACCTTGTGGCAAACCTTTGTACTTTCTCTAGTTTCTTGACGTGCTTTATCAAGTGCAGGTTCCAACAGGTGCTGCATACTCCAGTATGGGCCTGACATACACGGTGTACAGTGTCTTGAACGATTCCTTACTAAGGTATCGGAATGCTGTTCTCAGGTTTGCCAAGCGCCCATATGCTGCAGCAGTTATCTGATTGATGTGTGCTTCCGGAGACATGCTCGGTGTTATACTCACCCCAAGATCTTTCTCCTTGAGTGAGGTTTGCAGTCTTTGGCCACCTAGCCTATACTCTGTCTGTGGTCTTCTGTGCCCTTCCCCTATCTTCATGACTTTGCATTTGGCAGGATTAAATTCGAGAAGCCATTTGCTGGACCAGTTGTCCAGTCTGTCCAGGTCTCTTTGAAGTCCTGCCTGGTCCTCATCAGATTTAATTCTCCTCATAAAGTTCACATCTGCAAACAGGGACACTGTGTGTGTGTGTGTGTGTGTGTGTGTGTGTGTGTGTGTATGTGTGTGTGTGTACTCACCTAGTTGAGGTTGCAGGGGTCGATCCCAAGCTCCTGGCCCCGCCTCTTCACTGGTCGCTACTAGGTCACTCTCCCTGAACCTTGAGCTTTATCATACCTCTGCTTAAAGCTATGTATGGATCCTGCCTCCACTACATCGCTTAAGTGTGTGTGTGTGTGTGTGTGTGACCCAACAATTATTATTTGCACCAACAACTCATTACAGTTGTGACCGGGTGTGGACGTACGAATTGCTCATTACTCTATAATTTGTTCATGATTGTAGCCATGTATAAACGTAAGTAAGTAACTTTACTTACAGGATTCATTACCTTTGTAACTTGTGAGTTCATTACCTTTGTACCTAGTTCAGCTATCAAAACTTTGGGGGCCCAGTCCCTGGACCCATTATGTACCTCTGTAATCTGTAAATACCTTTGTAACTTGTCATGATTGTGACCAGATCTACCTAGAGTTCATTACCTTTGTAACTTGTTCAACTATCAAAACTCTGGGGTCCAGTCACTGGACCCATTATGTACCTCTGTAATATTTTGACAACCGCCCACAGAATGGGTATGGGGTGCATAATTAACATATTAAACTAACTAAAAATAAATGAGAACAAGTAAATTGTTCCTCGTGATGTATGTCAGTATACGATAATCTATCAAAGGCAACTTTATACAACTTTCATTCACCCTTTTGTTGTAAATATTATTTATTATTGTATATATAGAGATTTTAAAATAGAAAAAATGTTACAGTGTTAAAGTAAGTTTTAAATTGTTGTTGCAATAATTCTAGAATTAGTTACCATTGCTGTATTTATTTAATTTTATATTTTAGCAATCTTCTCGGCTGAATTTAATTAATGTTCTGGAGTTTATCTGGAGAGGGTTTCGGGGGTTAACGCCAACACTGCCCAGTCTGAGACCAGGCCTCATGGTGGATCAGGGTCTGATCAGTCAGGCTGTTACTACTGGCCGTACGCAAGCTGACGTACCAACCACAGTCCGGTTGGTCAGGTACTGACTTTAGATGCCTGTCCAGTGCCTTCTTGAAGACAGTCAGGGGTCTATTGGTAATCCCCCCTTATGCATGCTGGGAGGCAATTGTACAGTCTTGGGCCCCGGACATTTATTGTGTTGTCTCAGTGTACTCGTGGCGCCCCTGCTTTTCATCGGGCGAATGTTGCATTTCCTGCCGAGTCTTTTCCTTTCATAGGGAGTGATTTTCGTGTGCAGGTTTGGTACCAATCCCTCCAGGACCTTCCAAGTGTATATTATCATGTATCTCTCTCGCCTGCGTTCCAGGGAATACAGATCAAGGACCTTCAACCGTTCCCAGTAGTTTAGGTGCCTTATCGTACTTATGTGTGACGGGAAAGTTCTTTGTACACTCTCCAGGTCTGCAATGTCGCCAGCCTTGAAGGAGGCCGTTAGTGTGCAGCAGTATTCCAGCCTAGAGAGCACAAGCGATTTGAAGAGAATCATCATGGGCTTGGCCTCCATAGTTTTGAAGGTTCTCATTATCCATCCTATCATTTTTCCTAACGGATGAGGTAGATACATTGTTGTGGTGTTTGAAGGCAAGCTCCACTGACATTATCACTCCCAGGTCCTTTACATTACTTTTCCGCTCTATTGTATGGTTAGTATTTGTCGCATACCCTGACACATTTTTAATTTCTTCAAGTTTCCCATATCTGAGTAGTTGAAATTTCTCCTCGTTGAACTTCATATTGTTTTGAGTGGCCCATTTCGAAGATTTGGTTGATGTCCGCTTGGAGTCTCGCAGTGTCTTCGATGGAGGTCACTGCCATGGTAATCCGGGTGTCATCCGCAAAGGAAGACACGTAGGTATGGCTTACATCTCTGTCTATGTCAGAAATGAGGATGAGGAATAGAATGGGAGCAAGTACTGTGCCTTGTGGAACAGAGCTTTTTACCATGGCTGCCTGGGACTTTACTCTGTTTATTATTACTCTTTGTGTTCTGTTTGTCAGGAAGTTGTAGTTCAATTTTTGGTAAATCTTTGTTAGAATAATGATAAATGTGTCTTGTTTTCCCTTCTTTTCCAAAATCACAAAATCATTATTAATTTAAAATATTACTTTGTTTGCTAGCTATAACTGGCAAATATACCGACTGGCTTTACCTGCTGGTACTGACTACGATATACATTAGCTATGCTTGCCTCTATTTGCTAGCATGTAGCCATGGTTGATATATCTCAGCATTCTTAGTATATAATTGTAACTATCTAGCAATTCACTAACTTTAACTTAACGACAGGACTTCGCCATCAACTACTGGGCAGAGAAAGGGATGCCGAGAGACAAGATGGCACTGGGTGTTCCTCTCTACGGCACTTGCTGGACTCTGGACGACCCCACCCAGACAGACTACTACTCACCAGCCAGTAATCCTGGTGAACCAGGTCCATGGACCCAGGCCAGCGGCATGTTGGCTTATTACGAGGTGGAAAAAAGTAAACTTTATTCCTGAAATAAATATATGAAATTGAACTCTGGAAGGAGATTTACATGTGAATAATTTCATTTACTCAAAGCGACTATACTAGTTACGATTTAGTTCTAGTCATAATTATCTACTAACTCACAAATTGGAAATTAAAACCAGACTACGTTTTGACCAATCTCAGTAATTGTCTAGTTTCATCCCTGTGTGATACAAAAACAAACTCTTGTCAAACAACCAAGTCTGAGCCGTCAACTATTATCCCACAGATCTGTTACGGCCAGCAGACAGAGCCAGACGCGTGGGTGATCCAGACAGCAGAGAATTTGACTGAGCCATACACTTACCGGGACGATCTCTGGTGCTCCTACGAGAACCACACCTCTGCAGCTATCAAGGTAACAAGGATCACTGCCACCCAGTGGTAGTGATTGTTGCTGAGCAAACGTGTCATTTTCATTGTGGATGTAGGCACTTTACACATTATAAGGATATCTTACTGTCTTGCTTTCTGGCAGAAATTCAGATTTTTTTTTTTTTGGTATCACGAGCACTTGCGACAGCAAGTAGAAATTTGCACGATTTACTTACGATAGTATTAGAAATTATGTTGAGGATTTTTCTCAACACAATCTGGAATTAACCTTCCACTCACACACTGGGGAGAACTCTTGATACAAAACAAATTGTAACTTTCTGATGTTGATTATCTTGGAGACTATGGGACTTCAGGAAAGCTGGGGTCACAATGTCCCTCCGTCTCAACTCTCTAACTCCGGGACCCTGGATTAGGAACACATGATTCCTGTATATTTTTTGATAAAAATTTACGCCAATAAATTGGTTATTAATTGGACTATATAATATAAAGAATTTAATTGGACTGGACACTTTAAAGTATTTTGTTGATCTACATTTTTCTCTTATTAAATATATTAATTCAGTGAGTGAGCATTTTACCAAACTGTAGGTAACCTAATAACTGGCCAATACCAGCTACGTTACCTGTTATGTGGAGGTTAATACCCACTGGGAGGTGTACAGTGATTGTGGATGATACATGCGGTAGACAATATGGCGTCTAATTCAGCTACTGTTTCCTGTTTCCATTAATGAATCCTTATTCTGTCGTTTTATTACAAATCTGGACCCTTCCTCTTCTCTTATCTTGTAACGTTTAATGGTCGCTAATATTACTAACGGACATTGTAATTTTGAATAACATTCACCAAATCGTCAATCAGATTTCTTCCCGTACCGCCATATTTGTTTCTTCTCTTCGTTCTATCTTGTACACATACATTTATTTAATTTATTTATTTTATTTATTTATTTATTTATTTAATGTCTTTGCAAACAGTACATTAAGATTGTGTATATACAAATGTGGGTTGCAATGCAAAAAGAGCCTCTATTATGCCTAGGCATTATGGGCCAACTTAACATTATTGGCTTACAGTCTACTTAATACTAAGGAATTAGTATATCATAGTTGTACAGTAGGAAATTAATTATTTCATAGTTGTACAGTAGAATATTAATTATAGATGAATCAAAGTTTGTATTTATATTCTAAAATGCTTTTGTGAAAAACATTGATTCAATTATATTCCTGTCAACAATGGATAAAGGTTCAATGTGATTGTTTCATTATGATGTGGGAGTACATAGGTGAGTTAAATGTGTATGAGTATATAGCATTTAGTCTAGGGTGATATAAGTGGCTTTTGAGAAAAGTCTTAAATCGATTTTCAGACTGGGCTATTTAATATCTTCTGGTAATGAATTCCATATTTTGGGGCCCTTTATGTGCATAGAGTTTTTACACAGTGTGATATGGACACGAGGTATATCAGAAAGAGATCTGTGTCTTGTGTTGTGGTCATGTGTCCTGTTTAGGTTGGTGAGGAGAGTTTGAGTGGGGGGTTTATATTTGCGTGTATTGTTCTGTGTATGTAGTAGGCACATGAATAAGTATGGATATTCTTAATGGTAAGCAGATTCAGACTTTTGAAAATTGGTGGAGTATGCTGGCGGAAGTGGGAATTTGTTATCATTCTTACTCTGCCTTTTGCTGGGTTATTAAGGGTTTTAGGTGACTGGATGTTGTTGATCCCCATGCACAAATTCCATATGTAAAGGTAAGGGTATATGAGTGAATGGTACAGTGCCAGGAGAGCTGATTGTGGAACATAATACCTTATCTTTGATAGTATGCCTACAGTCTTGGAGATTTTCTTGGTGATTTGTTGTGTGTGTGTCCGGAACTTAAGGCTACTGTCAAGGTGGATACCTAGGAATTTTTCCCTCTATGAGTCTTGTGACTGATGATCCATTTAGCGTAATGTTAATTGGATCATTTGCAGCTTTGTTTCCAGACTGAACGAAATAGGTTTTATCAGTGTTCAGGGTAAGTTTGTTAGTCACCATCCAGGCAGATATTTTCTATAATTCAGCATTGACTGTGTTTGCTAGTATGACTGCGTTTGGGTGTGAAAATATATATGTAGTGTCATCTGCAAATAATATGGGTTTGAGTAGCTGTGATGCATTCGGTAGATCAATGATGTATATGAGAAAGAGGAGTGGTCCAAGGACGCTTCCTTGTGGGACTCCTACTGTGATTGGTTGGGTGGAGGAGTTTGCATCATTTGCATAAACATATTGAGTTCTGTTACTAAGGTATGACTTTAGGTAGTTGAGGAGTGGCCTCTGATACCATAGTGCATTAATTTGGAGTACAGTAGTTCATGGTCGACTGTATGGAAAATGCCCAGCGGGACTTCTTTCTTTTCAAGTGCGATATTATTAGTTCTAGCATGTATATGATAGCCTCATTTGTGCTTTTATTATTCCTGAATCCAAACTGACAAGGGTTTAATATGTTGTGTGAAACGAGGTAGGAATAGATCCGTCTATGAATTAATTTTTCAAAGATTTTAGAGAGCAGTGGTAAGTTAGATATTGGTCTGTAGTTATTCAGTCAGCTTGGTCACCTCCTTTATGGATCGGAGTGACCCTCGCTATTTTGAGGATTGTTGGGAAGGTAGATGATTCAATGGATTTGTTAAAGAGTGTTGCAATAATTGGTGACAATACTTGAGAAGCTTTTTTGTACATAAAAGCAGGCAAGTTGTTTATGTCTCCTGCCTTGTTTTTAAGGGTGTTTATGATGAGCATAACTTCAGTGGGGTTGGTTGGAGCTAGGAATAGCGTATTTGGGTAGGTTCCTATGAGGTAGTCTGATGGACGGGCGTTTGTGCTTGGTATTTTGTTTGCTAGATTTTTTCCTATGGTGGAGAGGGAAAACATTAAGTCTGTTTGCTGTATCGGTTGGAGTGAGTAGGGGTTCATCTGATCTTGTTAGTTTGATTGCTTTGTTTTTGGATAACTTTTTAGTTCCAAGAATTTCAGATAGAGTTTTCCAGTTTTTTTTTCATATCACCTTTGATGTTATGTAATCTATTTTCATAATACAATTTTTTTGACCTTATCAGGCTGGTAAGTGCTGACCAGTAATTTTTTCTTACGTAATTTCTTCTCTCTCAAACTCTCTACTCCTGGGAACTCTTCTGTCCTCTGCCTTCCCTACATTTCCGATCTTTCTAATCTCAACAATTCTCTCCGTCCCTTATACATCAAGCTTACTTTCCGCCAGACTAACACTCTTCGCACTAATCTCGTTCATACCTCTCTCCCTCTACAGATGTTCCTGGTGTCTATTTCTTGCTCCTCCTGTCCTCTTCAATACTTTGGAGAAACTGGCCGATCTCTTTCTGACAGACTTAGGGAGCACAAAAATAGTGTTAGGCTTGCCGACACTAACAATGCTCTTTTCTGTCACGTCAGAGATCACAGCCATCCTATAGACTGGTCTTCTGCTAAAACTGTCTTCCCTACTTCCAACTTTAACAGTCGCCGTCTTGTTGAATCCTCTCTAATACACAAATTTCTTGTATGAATCTTAGTCCTGGCTTCGTCTCTGTAGATGCCTTCCTCTCCCACTACATTGTAAAATGCTCCAAACTTCAGAACACCCGTGACTTAACCTGATTCCTCATTTTTTCTTCTTCTCCCTCTTCCCTTTCTTCTTTCTTTTTTTCTTTTTGTCTTTCTTCTGTCGCGTGTTTCTGTTCCTTCATTATTTATTTCATCACTTCCCCTTCCCCCCACCTCTGTGCACTTGTCTCTCCCTCTGTGGGCACCTAGCTCCTTGCAGTGCTCCCCTTTCTTTATATTTGACTGGCTCCTCCTCCTTAGTTCCCCACTACTACCACCACTACTACTACTACTACTATCTACTACACCACCACTACTACTACTACTACTACTACTACTATATTACTACTACTACTACTACTATACTACTACTACTACCACTACCTCTTCCTGCCTATATATAGCCGTCCTGCTCCACTTCTGGTTAGTGTGACTTTGTAAATGGTCGAAGTCGGACCGAAACGTCGTCGTAAGCTCCTCTCTTCTATGTGTGGTTTTTTGTGTACTGTTAATGTCATTTACAATAACACAAGTGTTCGTCGTGTTAAAGTTGGAAACCTCTGCGTTGCAGGCTAACTATGCAAGGGTGCACGGTCTGGCCGGCCTGATGGTGTGGAGCATCGACATGGACGACTTCCATGGCTACTGCCACGACGAAACCTTCGACTCATCAGGATCATGAAGCTGGTGTTCAATAGGTGCTAAGTTCATGACGCATCGACCTCATCAGGATCATGAAGCTGGTGTTCAATAGGTGCTAAGTTCATGACGCATCGACCTTATCAGGATCATGGTGGTGTTCAATAGCTGCTAAGTTAATGACGCATCGACCTCATCAGGATCATGGTGGTGGTATTCACAAGGTGCTCAGAATACTAGACTTTCGACGTCATTAGTATCATGTTAGAGGCATTAACAGAAGCCTGTAAGTTCGTTAATATCAGATTGCTCAAATTGTAATGACACCATTAATTCTTACCTGATTATATTTCCTTGTTCCCTAACAACTTGTGGAATATTCTGAATACTATGCATAGCCCAGTTTTATCAGGGGTTTCTAACTCAATAAATATGCAACTAATCCTGAAGTTATTTCATTCTCTACCTAACGTTTAATGTTTACAAAATATAAACTCCAGGTTGCATGGGTGCCACCATGCTGGCACTGCTCTGACTATACACCATCAGTTTCCATAATCTTCGTATACACAGTTCATTATCATGGGCACATAGTTATGGCTTCAATTGGAGAAATACAAAGTTAATTTTAATAAAAGAATAGCAAATTTGTATAGTCTTTATCGGGGATTAGAAGTCATGCCTGGAATTAGATTTTTCATTTCGCGTCATTATCTAAGCATACTATATATTATCTTTGATTATACTCACAGATGGAAATGCTTTCATTTTTTCAGTTAATAACTTATTTTTCACTGTTTTATTCAAACTGAAAATTACATTATTTTCAAAATTATTTCTTTGATTTTTTCAGCATTTTAAGATTTCTTAGCCTCGAAGATTGAAACTCTGGCTTAAGTCCCTAGATTCACTTCTGTCATTATAACTGATGATACTAGACAAAACATTGCTACTATGCATAAAGTGTGATTTAAGACTAATTCGAGTATGCATAATTAATCCCACACAAGGAATTTCAGTTCCAGAAAAAATGAAAATTCATTTTTTATGTATTATGAGTAATGCTGACGAATTAGCTACAAGTGAACAACATGCACAATCTTACATTATGGAATGTGCTTAATATATAATAAACAGAGACTGAAAAAAATACGTATCAAGGTTTTTTAAAATGCTCAAAATATCTCAGTATTTTGGGTGTTGCTGACTAGCTGGCGACACTTGAACAGCCTATATATACGTTACGTAACTGAGAAATGCTTAATTTTTAATAAACAGTGGGTGAAAAACTGTAATTTTTTTTTAACTAAAATTCCTAATATGCTGGGTTATTCTAATCTAGTTTACAGTGAGCATAATTGTGTTAATAAGGAACGTAAACAGTACCTTACCAACAGATGGAAAGTATTTTGTTATTGTTCGTTGTACTCTGTTATTCAAGAGCAGATTTCACGTTTTTACTGTTTTAAATTTCAGCCTAATTTTACACTCTCTGCTACAGAGGAGTCGGTCATGAACCCGTCAACCTTATATAACAGTAATGATAAAGAATTTGTCACCGTATTGAAAATTTTACGATGCCTGTGCTCCAACTGACTCCTGGGAATGTATTTCATATATCAATTAATAACCATAAATTAATGCAATATAATGCTCGTCTGCGCAGATAACCTTACCATAAATTGAATTAAATTAAGGCAGTGTTATCTTATGAATAAAATTAGCAATGAATCATGTAGTGGGAAAAACCATCGAGGCACTCCATGTCCAACTAACTTACTAAGTACAGATAAGTTGGTGAGGCAGAAAGTTTTGGGTAAGATCTTTATAAACAAGAAATCCTAGACAATTATATTATTTTTTTACTTAAAAAGAATTTGTTGACTTTTCCTATATAGTGTAAAGTGTTTACAGAGTGCATTTAAAGTTATTATCATTACTGAGAAAATGTTCATCTCGTCTCTGAGTGAGGAACCAGGAGACCTGGGATGCTTGGTGAGCTGTGACGTGCTGATGTGCTACACACCGTAGTTACGTGGACGTGTTACATACTGTAGTTACGTGGACGTGCTACACATCGTAGTTACGTGGACTTGCTACATACCGTAGTTACATGGACGTGCTACATACCGTAGTTACGTGGACGTGCTACATACCGTAGTTACATGGACGTGCTACATACCGTAGTTACATGGACGTGCTACACATCGCAGTTACATGGACGTGCTACATACCGTAGTTACATGGACGTGCTACACATCGCAGTTACGTGGACGTGCTACACATCGCAGTTACGTGGACGTGCTACACACTGTTGTAACACATAACACACCATCGTGACGTGCAGACACAGCGTGTGGCCATGTTATTTCCATTGTAATTAATGAAATAGGAATTTCCCAACCTACCGAACCCACTGAAGTCACTACGATTATCAAGTCACTTAAAAACAAATCAGTGAATCTGTCTCAAGTCCCACCATTACTGTGTAAGTGAGCAGCTTATGTCCTTTCGCCTGCCATTTCACTACTTTTTAACAAGTCACTAGAAACTAGAACTTTCCCGACACCACTCAAGACAGCAAGGGTTACACCGATTCACAAAGATGGTGACCCCGCAGACGTAAATTACTACAGGCCAATCTCAAACTTACCGTTGCTATTCAAAATCTTCGAGAAACTCGTGCACAACAGATTATATTCGTTTATTGCAGCACAAAGCATACTCAACCCCTGCCAATTTGGCTTTAGAAAAAAAAAAAGCACAAGCGATGTAATTGTGAAAATGCTTGACCTGCTTTACACAGCACTGGAAAATAAGGAATATCCATTAGGACTCTTTATTGACCTAAGGAAAGCTTTTGATACAGTAGACCACGGCATCCTACTCCAAAAACTTGACCATTACGGTATAAGAGGCCACGCACTTATATATTTCAAATCCTACCTTACTAACAGGTATCAGTACGTCACCATTAAGGACACAACCTCATCTACACGACCACTTGATACTGGAGTGCCACAGGGAAGTGTCCTTGGTCCCCTGCTCTTCCTCTTATATATCAATGATCTTCCCAACGTATCACAACACCTGAAACCAATTCTCTTTGCTGACGACACGACTTATGTCATCTCCCACCCAAATCTTGCCTCACTCAACACCATTGTTAATGAAGAGCTACAAAAAATATCAACCTGGATGACTGCCAATAAACTCACACTTAATACTGACAAAACCTTCTATATTATGTTTGGTAACAGAACAGGTGTTGCACAACAACTCTTATTGCTAAACATAATGAGGGCAAATTCCTGTGCCTACACCTTGACAGCAACCTGAATTTCAGCACACACATCCAACACATAGCAAAAAAAGTATCCAAAACAGTTGGGATCCTCTCGAAGATACGTTACTATGTACCGCAATCATCCCTACTCACACAATACTATTCACTCATCTATCCCTACCTCACCTATGTCATTTGTTCTTGGGGATCAACAGCAGCAACCCACCTAAAACCAATAATAACCCAACATAAAGCCGCAGTAAGAATTATCACGCAATCCAATCCCAGACAACACCCCCCCCTCACTCTTCAAAGACCTAAACTTACTCACTGTACAGAACATCCACACTTACTACTGTGAAACTTACATTTACAGAACCATAAATTCCGATATTAACCCTGAACTAAAACGCTTTCTTGATAGTTCTGACGGGACCCATAGGCACAATACCAGACACAAAAATCTCTGACATTCCACGTGTCCGGCTAAATCTATATAAACGTTCAATATACATTATAAAGGGCTTAAAATCTGGAACTTCTTAGCTGTAAACTCTAGAATTGCAGACTCAGCCACCATTTTCAAAACTACCATTAAAAAACATCTCATCTCCCTAACAACACCCACCATCAACAAACTACATGAAAACCAACCATTCATGTAACCTATGTGACATGTCAAGATATCTTATTAATGAAAATAGATACCAGATTATACTAAGCAAATTTCCTAAATTTGCTTGTAACAGATAAGTGAACTATAGATATGCAGATATAAATTCAAATGTATTCTGTTAACCCTTTGGGGCATAGTTCCTAGGCCTTTTGTGTATCCATATGCTCTTTTGCTACCGTCCACAGGATATGGTGTGCACAATAAACTAGCCACTTCGATGGCAAAATTTAAAATCATGTACACACACACACAAACACACACACACACACACACACACACACACACACACACACACACACACACACACACACACACACACACACGCACACACACACACACACACACACACACACACACACACACACACACGACACGCCACACACACACACACACACAACACACACACACACACACACACACACACACACACACACACACACGACATAACGGAAGGGATAGACTCAGAAGTGTCCTTGTTTGCAGATGATGCGAAGTTAATGAGAAGAATCAAATCGGGAGGATCAGGAGGACTAAAAAGACCGGACAGGCTAAGCTGGTCGAAATGGCTCCTTGAATTTAAT